TTTATTTTTAAATTAGCGCATCACTTATCCGCATTGATAACCTTTCACGTCCCAATTTTGAAACTAGATTGTTCAGCTGTTTTTCAGTTGTTTCTCTGCAGGGAAAAATAAATGAGCAGAGTTTTAAAATAAAGTAGGATGATTGTGTCATTTCTCACCCTCCTCACTCAAAGAGGCAGAACTAGTTTTCATTAACCTTTCCATACAAAACACTTTACGGCTACACTACAAGCTTTGCCAGAAGAGGCAATGCAAATGAAGCGAGGATTAGCATTTTCTCGCACTTCATTTGAATATTCTCTTCTGATCTATTTTTGCTTCCATTTTCCTTTTTCCCAGAGAGGCATAAGGATCTTGCACAAAAAGGGTTTTCTTGTGCAAAAAGGAAACATCCACACTGCTTGTTTTTGCGCAAAAAACCCTTGTGCAAAAATGGATCAGAAGAGAATATGCAAATGAAGCATGAAAAATTGCTAATCTGAGCTTCATTTGCATTGCCTCTTCTGGCAAAGCTTGTAGTATAGACAAAGCAATGTCAATATAAGGCAAAATTCTGTACTGTCGAACCCAATTGCAAAACTTCAATTGGTTTCAATAGGGCCAGGATTTCATTCCTAACCGAGACTTTTTCAGACTTTGGAGTGAATGAAACTGCAGAAAAGAAGGGTGTTGTGTGTACTTATACAATGATCCAAATTGCAGATATTTCTGGGTACTTATATAAAAATAGCATTGTGTCTGACCCTCTCTGCTTGAAACCATTGTGAACATCTGCAACATTAAAAATAAATGAGTTTCCAAGTGCAAGCCATTATCTATCCAGATTATCAGAAAACAGCCTGCCAAATGAGATGTGCATTACACATACAGGTAACCAGTCTCAAACTCTGTGTGAACAGTTGAATATGTGATTTCCAGTCTAGAGTGTCACAATATATAGTTCCTTGGCCTTAAAATGTGTGAATTAAGGTCTCCTGTACTGAGAATGTCCTGTCTGTAGCCTCTTGATGTTTATAACTCAAAAGAGCTAAGCTCAATATATCACAAAGAATAATTTATACACTGAGGTTCTCTTTTTTTCTGTTCATGACATCACAGATTTTTAATTATTCATAATTCTAGATTAATCACAGTTTTGTTTTTGCTCTTCAAATAGCTCATAAACAGTTTGTTGCAAGTATTAAAAATTTACCATTTTCACTCTACTGGTTACTTATCCCAAGGTATGTCTACACTGCAGCATTTTTCTAGAAAAACAGTTGTTTTTCCTGAAAAAACATACTTAGGTCCACATTACTATTGCGTTCTTTCGACAGAAAGTCAAAAGAACACAGGGGTTTTTCCGACAGTGGTAAACCTCTTTCTACAAGGAAGAAGCCTTTTTTGGAAAAAGCTTTTTTGGAAGAAGATGTGTGTGGATGCAGAAGAGGGAGTTCTTTAAAAAAAAAGAGTTCTCCAGGAAATAACACAGGTACCCTCATGTCCACTCCATCCATACGAATCACAATTTAAATGTGAGATAACATCCAATCAATGTGGACGCTACCTTTCAAAAAAGCATATCACTTTTTCCTTGCGCTTTTGCTGTGTGGATGCTCTCTTTCGAAATAAGCTTTTCTGGGCGATCTCTGCTGGAAAAGTTTCTGAAAGAAGCCTGCAGTCTAGACACAGTATTTCTGTTCCAGACTCAGGTAACAAAGCAGCATAGAATGAATTATGAATACTGTAATAAAATAGTAGCATATTTTTTTATGTGTGTACTTCTGCTTAACTTTAATTTTACATGAATAGGATTACTAGCAGAGATCAAGAGCATGAATAGATCATGAACACAGTAACGTTAATATTCATCTTTCAATCTGAGCACATATTTAGGGGAAAAGTTTCCAGAATTCTTTCCCCTCTAATTTTGCAGCTATTTAAAACAAGAACAGTGGTCTCTCAATAACCAAGCTCTCAGCTATTTAGATCCAAATCAGCAGCACTTTACTCTCAAGTGAATTGAAATCCAGAGGAGCTCATGAAGAATTGGCGTAATAAGCTCTCTGTAATTACCACAGCCAGACAGGTAGCTCATCATATTTTGAATTTGATAAAACTTGTAAGTGACCTTCCTTGGTAGATCCAGACTGGATGCAATGTTCTCTCTAATTGATTCTATCCATGTGTGGAATGAAATTTTCTATGTGCACTGAGAGAAGTGCAGATGTGTACCACCAATAGAAATGCATGCTGCCAGTTGTGGACATTTGTGGGTGCTCTGCTAATCCTCTAGGCAGCATTTGAGCCTCTCCATGGTGGATGCCTAATCACACAGCTTAGAGGGAACACTGATTGGATTTATAGGTTTTAATGAGCACAACTCAGACATCTTAAGTACTGCATTTGTTCCCTAGTGGCTGCTACAATATAATCAACCAATCCAATGACCATATTGCTCCTCACCATCTATTTTTTCAAGTTTTTTTACTGACAAACCAGTGTTGCTGTACAGTGTTTCTTTTGTATTACAAACCTTTTTCATAACCAGCTACTGGTGTGTGAGACATAACACAAAATAGTGTAGAGCTGATAATGATAATTCAAGTGAGGAAGTCATAAAAAGGTTTTCTGCACTACTGAAAATGCAGTAAATATTTTATTAAATATAAGTAGGGTTTCTACTTTCCATGTTTGTCTTTAAAATTTATTTTCTATTTTTCTTTTCAATTGATTTTTCTTAATTTGGGAATGGAAGATTATATATATACTGATTTAGCAGAAAAGTTTTTTGCTGAATACTCTGATGGTGATTTTGTGTTGTCAGGGTTCATTTTCAGTTTTCTAAGACCATCTATGAGAGTTTGGCATGACAGAATGTGTTCCTGAACAAAAATTAATTGAAATCAGTAAGACACCTTCCATTGACATCAAAGGACTTTGGATCAGGTCCATGCCTGTATTACCTAAATAATAGTAGATTCAATAAGAGTTTAGCTTGAGCTATGTCTGCAGGTTTAAGACAAGCAATATGCTCTGATCTTCTCACCTTTGGAAGGCCACCAAGTCAGTTTTTACTTAGTTGTATTAAGTTCAGATTGATCCATGTCACAAAGTTAGTGTTTGACTGTGTTTGGAAGCCAGGATTTTGATTAGGACTCATCTCTAAGTAAGAAATGGGGTTACAGGCAGATGGCAACTGATCACATAATTATATCAGATTCTTTAGCCCAGCTGAACTTTGTTTGGCACAGGACCAACAATAAGGCAAATGTAGCTGTTGGCCAGTTTTGCATTTCCAGGGCCACGAAGTACTAGGTTATTCTCTGGCATAAGACAGACAAACATACAGCCACCCACAAACCTGTGGGAAACCAGCCAGTGAATCCTCTGTAGGCCAATCACATACATTTTTCCCCCAGTATACACTCACTAAGGGTATGTCTACACCGCAACATGATTTGAAAATAACTTAGTCTGCGTCTACACTTCTTACTCCAACTCCTGTAACCCTCATTGTACGAGGAGTAAGGGAAGTCGGAGGAAGAGTGCTCCATTTCGAAATAAGTGCTGTGTAGACACTCCCTATTTTGAAATAAGCTATACAATTGATGTAGCTCAATTTGTGTAGCTTATTTCAAGTTAAGCCCTGCCGTATAGATGCACCTTTGGGAGCTCAATACCATTTTAGCATTCTAGAATATGAGAGGAAACTTATACTGTCCAGAGCTTTTGGGCTAACAGGTGCTTTTTTTCTTGGTTGCCATTTCAATGAGATCAAATAATCAAATTCTGCACATTGAAAATATGACATACTGTAAGTCTGCTTCATGAGATACGGGGAACGTATATAACATTTACCTACATTGCATACCCCAACCGCTATTAAAGCCCAGATACACACCACTCCAATCTTTGCATTTGCCACGCAGTTTATGCTGCTTTCTATCCTGCGCAAGGGGGATACTGTAGTGATGCCGTAAGCAGCCCATTGTAGTCACCGGTTTGTGCTTTAAAAAACAGCTCTCCCCCATGGTTTTATCCTGGCGGCTGCAAACTGCTGCAATGCTTGAGCTGACAGTCCCTGAAGGGGGCTTAAGGCAAGGCACTGTCACTGTATGGCCTCAGCTCCAGAGCTAAGTCCTTCGTTTGTTCTGACACACTCCATGTTCATCAGCATTCCCGTCATTTTGACTGTTTTGTTCAGGACTAACTTGAGGGGAAATAAAAAAGGGAGCATGTTCTTCCAAGCTTCTCCCACAAAGTAACTTCCAAATGAGTCAGTAAAATTAATGAGCTGATGCTCCAAGTAGATCCCATAAATCTCCTGAGCATGGGTCACCATTGATGGGGCTCGAATATGCACAGAGATCTCATTGGCTTCTTGAGCTGGGCTCCTTCCTGACTGTGATAAAGTATGTGATTGTATCTCCCAACTGATTCCCACCTTTGGCACTAAAATGAGCCATCATTATAGTTCTGTGATCCTCCCCTTTTCCAACATAAGGAATACATTTTCTAAGCATGCTGTTGTTTAGATTATCCTCAATGAGCATCTGAGTTATCTCATTGAGATGAATAGCGCAGCTCCCATTCCCTGCCAGCGCTCTTGTTGCAGACTGTCAGACATCTCACTATTCATTACACTCAGTTTCACATTTGGGAGGTGGGAATTCTTCACAACTGTAACAGCTGGAAACTCGAATTTTGCTCTGCAGTGAAAAGTGAGGTTCTGGTACACAAGATGGCAGCCGGGGGAAGAAGCTCTAGCATAACATTCCATTGTGTGCTGGTGGAATCAGAGCTCTGATTTTGCCTCAGAATGAGCAGTTCAGTTGTGGATTGTCACTGATTTGGTTTTTTTCTATAAGTGGTTTTAAGACTGAGCTGTTACACATACCTAGAGCATTTGCTTATGCAAATCAAGTTAAGTCAATGAATAAATAATGGCTCCCACCCCATAGTGTGGGGAGAGAGAGATTTTTTTGTTTGGACTGATTCCATTGTTTTTACTTCTGCAGGATAAAGAAGTAAATCTGGAGCAGGTGCACAGAAGAATGAACAGTTTAATTGATGAAGACATAGCCCACAAGCAAATCTCGCCAGCATCCATTGAAATCTCAGCCTTGGAAATTGGTGGCATGCAGCAAAGTCAGACCCTGGAGCCAGTTCGTGAATACCAGAACACACAACTTTCTGTCACCACCTTTTTACCAGAACAGACAACTCATGGTGCCAGCAGGACACTCACAGCTGCCTCTGGTAGTAATCTACCATTGCCCCTTAGCAGCTCAGCCACCATGCCCTCTATACAGTGTAAACACAGATCACCAAATGGAGGACTGTTTCGTCAGAGCCCCGTGAAAACACCTATCCCAATGTCATTTCAATCTGTGCCAGGAGGAGTCATTCCTGAAGCCATGGAGCCTTCCCATGGAACATCCATATAATAAAAATAAACAAACAAACAAAAACCAGCAGAGCTTTTTAATACAATCAATCTAAAACAAAAACAAGAACTTTTACATTTTCTTGTACATATCTGTAAATAACGAAAGAATGAAGTGGGGTAAAAGTGTATTTTGAATATTCCCAATTTTCGAAGTCAGTAAAAAACAAAACAAAAAATGTATGAATGACTTTGTAAATTTTGTTCTATATGAATAAAAAGGCAAACTACTTGTGATCGTTCTCAAGTGCCAAAGAAGACCTGTTACTGGGACAGAGGGCAGTTAAAAAATAATCATGAATTTCAACTCTTGTTCCTTATTTGTTCTATTTTTAGTTTTGTTTCTAAAGCAGTGCAGTTATCCATTTTTTGCAGTAAAATTCACTCAGCACGCTCTTCTTCTCAGTACCCTATTTCATAGTCATGGTGGCAGTTCACTTGAAAATCTAACAGCAGGTATTAGCAAAGAAGTAATAAATGATTTGAACCGATTTGATAGTACGGCATCAAAATGGCAAGAGCCTAGTGAGTGAGCTTCGGCAAAAAATGAGTTACAAGGTAACAGCGGCAGCAGCTGAACTGAGCAAAAAGGGTAAAAAAGGCTTAAAAAACCTAAAACATTACAGTATACTGTATACACTATGTACAATAAAAAGGGTTAAGAACACTTTATATACAGTATATAATGTATACAGTATATATATATAACCAGTTTACAGTACCTCCTGATAGTCCGGCATATCTGATAATCCGGCACCACCTAGGTCCCATAGGTTCCGGATTATCGGAAGTCTACTGTAACTATAAACAAGCAAACAATAAACAAAGTAACCAAACTCTTCTCTTCTAACAGGGATTAAATTTCCACACCGTTTCTTAGTTAAAGCACAGGTTTACTAAATTGTGTTTTATGTGTGTACTGTGCTGAGTGGCTTTTTTTAATTTAAACTTCTGTAACTTCTCTGTAATATATGTATTTATTATATATATATATATATATGTATATATATATATATGATTTGATACATTATTTTATGGGTAAGGCTATTAAGCAAAACCTGAGATCAGCTCTTTCATGTGTGCACAAATTAAAGTGGAGTAGAACCAACGACTTAAAGGCATAACACAAGACAAAACATTATTTGATAGTGAGGCAAAGAGTGCGTTCCAGTTAATATAGCCCTATGGTATGATTACTTTCTTTTATATTTCAAAGACTACGTTACAATGGAGGCAGCATTATTTGCTGAAATCATATCTCTTAGTGACAAAACTAAATTCATGACTATAAGCACAGCTTCTGATTTTTCCATGGATACTTTTAAAGAAAGCATTTTATGGTTATGTCCATGTTTTGTGCAATCAGCTAACAATGCCTTTATTTATTTATTTATTTAATTAATTTTTTTTTTTTCTGTGAAACTCCATACATGGAAAAAAAAGGGAAGTCTTAATGTCTTGTCTGAGAACATTACCAATTCATTTTAACATGAAAATGTTCCCTTTCCAATTAGTGGCTAAAATATTCAGGTAACTTTTTTTCTTCCTTTCTGTAGCTCCGAGGCAAACATTGACTTTCTGAATTGAATAATTTAGTAATCTCTCGATCTTGTCACAATAGCAAATTTACTATCTCCATTTATAGCTGGATTTCTTTATTTTATTAAAACATGTTCATTTGGCAAATGAACTATGCAGCAAAATCACTGCCTACATAAGGACAAAAAAAATTAAAAAACAACAACATAAAAGACCATCCAGATCTCCAAAAGGAAGCAGACCATGTGGTTTATGCCTTTTGAAAGTCCAATTTATTGTTTGGTATACTGGTTTGCATAGTTACTCAACTAGTTGTGGAGAGATAACTATCCCAGAATTGTTTTCTTTAGGAAAGTCATGCATTACATAATTAAACAGAGGAGAAACATTAAAAATGAATCAAACAGTGATAGGAAAAGTACCCAATGGAAAAAGTGTGCTTACAAAACTACTTTTTAAGGAATGTTGACAATTTGGCTATGTATAGACTACGGGGCTTTTTCGGATTATCAGAGATATCCGGGAAAAACTCCAGTGTGTCCAGGGCCCACGTCTGATCTTCTGCTTTTTTTTGTGTGTGGAAGAGCAGACGTGCTCTTTCGGAAGCTCTATCTTCCTCCTCCCATGAGGAAGAAGGGCTCTTCCAAAAGAGAAGGCTTTTCTGAAATGTGGCCCATCTATACTGGGCCAAATTTTGGAAAAGCCTCTTCCAAAAAAACTATGGGAAAAAGTTACGCAAATTGCAGAGTGCAATTTGCATACCTTTTCCCGATAAAGCCTTGTACTGTAGACATAGCCTTTGCTGATAGAAGTATCTCAGTGGTGATTAATTCCAGCATCGCCAGTCAAGCTGGTTCCTGACGTAGACAATACCATTCTGCAATCAGGCAGAAGTTGTACTTCCTGCTTCAAACTAATTAAAAATAAACAATAATAAAATTAATCACTGAATTTATACCAGGGGTAGATTTGATCCATTTTGATTTCCCCACCAGCATCCCCAAATTATCATTTTCCACAACATGTTCAACAAGCTATGAACATTTTCAGCTGACTTTAATTTTTTTACAGAAATCATTGTTCATCTGCCATGTACACTGGTTTTAGGACTGGCAATGCTAGGATGCTGTACATATGTATGTATGATTTAACAACAAGAAAGCATTGACTCATCTGCTTTGAAAGTTTCTCTTACTGTCACCTCCCTCTCCTCTTTTATCTAAATCACATACATTAAAGCCCTGATCTTCAGCTGCTTCTGAGGACCAAGGAGAGTGATCCCCCCCTAATTCTGGGCTGTGTGTATACTGAGATGTTTTTGAGCCCTGAAGACTCCACCCATTTGTAATGCCTGCCAATGATCCTATACAACAGTTGAGGATGGGTATCAGATGTAGGGGCACCTCAGGCATGATCATTCTCCCTTAGACAGGCCTCTAAGGTGTAGGGGTGATGTAGGTGCCTTCTGTGCTTTATGGCACAAGAGGATCCCCAATTATGATCATCCCTTAGCTGGTTATAAGAGACTTTATGGTCATGTTGAGCTGGCAGTGCAGTATTATAGTGCAGCCATAATGCAGCTGTGGATCTGAGACAAAACTTGGACCTGAGTTACTGCTATTAGCAAACAAGTGCAGAAAGAAGGTTTCTAAGCTGCATCCCTTACATGCACATACAAAAGGCAGTAAAAGGCAGTCTTTCCTTGCAGTAAAGATCAAAATGAAGTCCCATATAACAAAGACGTCATTACTGTCACAAAACATATTATATCACTTTTATTAATATAATTTAAATAATCATATATTGTTTAAATTAAACTACATTTGTAAAATTAGTGGACAGAGTACATTTTAGAATTCATTAGCTTTAATTTTGTTAAATGTTTACTTTCTTTGGGCTTCATCCTGCAAGGTGCTCCAAAACACTTAAATGTGTGCTTAACTGTGTGCATGTGAGTTAACTGCAGTGTTTGGCAGTAAGGAGTATAGGTCAAGTCCATGATGACCCTGATTTAGCAATTACTTAAATATGTGCTTAATTTTACGCATGTGCTTAGGTGTCACTGAAGTCAGATGCTTTTGTGCTTTGGATTAAAGATGACTTTAAGCATATGTTGAAAATGAAGCACACACTGAACATGTCAATTGACTTCAATGGGACTAGTCTATGCTTAATGTTAAGCATGTGCGTTGTTACATCAAGGGTTAGTCAGTGAAATTAGCAAATCACAATGAGTCTCCCACTCTTTAAAGAAAATTAGTTTATTTCAAAATATTGGATAGTTATATGCTATCAATCATGGCAGAAGCCTTCTAAATATCTTTCATGTTTCAGATGAGTTAAATAAATCAACAGGTTTTTCTCCAGAGAATAAAAAATATTTGTTTCCCAATACATTTTAATTTTCAAACCAAATTCAGAATGTATTGCTTCCATGTTTTTGTCTTGTGTTTAAGATTTCTAGTTTAATTTTTACTTCTCAAAAGATATATATATATATGTTCACGTTGTATGCATATACCATAGAGTCGTACATTATGCATAGGTGAACTAAAATATAAGTGAAGATTTCAAGCCAGATCATCAACTGGTATAAATTGGTGAAGTGATGGAGACATGCCTGTCTCTACCATGAGTGGATCTAGCCCTTCATTTTACATATTTTGCAGACATGAAAAGGGAGCGAGTTGCATAAATTTCTGTAATCTAACAGGGCCATATTGTGCCCTGGAATTTTAAATAGCACTCCCCAATGAGCCTAGCAGAGTAAGGGTCTGCTTAAAAATGGGGGAAATCTATGGGCCCAAGTTCTCCAGGTTCTCCAAGATGTTTACATTGCAAAGCTGGTTGTAAGTGACATTGAGTGCCTATACCTTTGATTGTGCTCTTTTATTGATGACTTTCTGCTAATGTGATATCTGTGGCACAGCACTTGTTGTGTTTCCCATTCTGTTCAGCCATTAGTTTAGAAACAATGCTTTATTTTCATACAAAACTATGACTTGGTTTCTTAGATTTGCTTGCAGTCCACTAGCTCTGGAGAATGCATTGCTGTTATTTCTGAATAATGTGTCATGTTTTCCTGTCGCAGTGAAACAATATTAATTGTGCTTTTTAATTTCAAAGTTAAAACTTGATAGGATCTTTACTGAGTTATAATTGCTTGTGTGCAATATTTGTCTTGCAAAGTGAAATTTCCAACATTCTGCCTTGCTTTTATAACCTGGCATTACTGCAGTCTTTGTGAAGCCTAAGCAGAGCAACAATAACTCATCTTCACTTAGTCTGCTGGTAGAATAATATACTCAGGATCTGATCCCCAGCTGGTGTAAATCAGCATAGCTCCATTGATTACATTGGTGATTTAAACTAGTAGAGGATCAAAGTGGATTAGGGCCAAGTGCACTACCAAACTTTTACTGGTCAGTAGCAGTAGGGTCCACACAGATGCTTAGTGTGAAGAAGAGATTGCCCCAACCCTGGCTTGCCTTGAGCACAGTGGTCAAAAAGACAAACCCTTAAAGTTGAGCTTGAAAACACTGCTTCTTATAAATCTATAGTCACTGCTGGCCCTGAAAAGAAAATATTATGTTAGTGCTAAAATGCAATTCAGAAAGCAACTCTGTTGGTCAATCAACATGGATTTTAGTTACAGCTGACAGCTGGAATATTTTAAGCACAAATTTCTTCTCAAAGCCTGTTCAAAATTAGGTGCACATCCACTTTGACAGAGGTTAGACATGAATGACAAATGGAACTTTTGTTTTAAAGGAGACTACATTCTTGGGACAATATAGTAACTATACCATATTTTATTCCTCTCACTGACCTGAATTTATGTTGTGAATGGCTAAAGAAAGCTAGGTCTGTAGGTAACACATTTGGGGACTCTACTGGAAATTTCCCAAAAAATCTATATCCTTCTGCATCAGTGGAAAAAGACAAGAGGAATCATTAAAGAAAAAGCTATAAAGAAAAGCAAAATTTTAGGTAATAATGAATGGGGGA